AAATTTAGGCGGTTGATTGCGCAAGGTTATGTCAATAAGAGATAAAGAATTCCGGTGAGTCCCAGAGTTGTGTAATAGTGGCTTCAAGCTAAGTGGGAGAGTCCCGCCGCCTATGATTGGGTTGCATGGTTAACTATTTGCGAGGTTTCTGGTTATTAGTATGTTGATGGGTTATTTTAGCTACGGGAAAAGAACATAAGTGGTGAATTGAGCAAAAGGATTGTTAATGGTGTGCTATGGTTGGCCTTGTTGGCTCATGTTCAGATTTGAGAAAGGATTCAGGGTCTATGCCTCGTATAAGTGTGGGTTCCAAGGGAAGTGATTCGGCCGGGTTCTTCGCCGAGAGGGTATTCATGTGATAGAAGATTCATGGAGTTTATTAAATTCGGTACCAAGTCAGAGCGGGTGGCTCTCAGTAACGGTTCTAATGGATTCAAAAAGAGGTAAAGTATGGTGCCTAATGATTTCGAGCCTATAAGTACAGTTAAGAATCAAGCTTTTGCAGCAGCTTATGAGTGGAGGCCCAGAACGTTATATGATGTTTTGACTCGCTGTGTAACTCTTGAGAGAAAGATGAGAAAGGACTTCGGATTCGTAGAAGGATTAGTATAATGGGAATATCAGTACGGAGTGCGAATGTGCGCACAAGGAAGGTATGAAATAGTTCATGGTATTTGGGGACAACATAGTTTCGTGATTCAAGGTCACTCGAGATGAGTGCAGATGGAGTATATGTGTTGGATAGAGTTAGTATTATCTATAAGGCAATCAAGGATAAATTGGAAGAACGTAGATTGATTGGCCATAATTGAATTTGGCATACGTTATATACGAAAGTATATTACATTCTCCCCTCACAAGTGGTTCATAGTCATGAACCAAATAATTCCATCTATTATTATTGATGTGCGGTGTATATTTTCATTAACACCATAACACACATAGCTGGATTTTCAAAGTTGAAGAAGCAAGTTAGTTTTTCTAACATGAGGGGGAGACATGATAAACAGTTGAGAAAACATTACTTGAAAGAATTATCATTTGTACATCTAGATCCTCGAATAAGATAATATGAACTTGAAGTTCATAAAAAGATAATTCATCTGCAATATATTGCAAAAATATGTCAGACACATTTACTGACCGAAAGAAAGTAACTATATTCTCAATGCAAATGCTCCTATTAGAATAAGTCCTAAAAGGACAATGTCTGTGGTACGCTTAGGGCGTATAGACAAATCGATTTCAAATAAACTTCTTGATAAAGAAGATGTGCACATGATCAAAATGATCATAATAAGGAGGCAAGTGATCTTGAAGATCACATGACATAACACTTCATAAAATCTTAGGAGTGGTTTAGGTACCTGAAATGAATGAAGAGATCTCTATGTTATGTCTTTATAAAAAAAGGAGGTTGAAACTGATATAAAATATTCGTCGATGACATTTATGATAGCGCTACGTATAGATGGGGATCAGACATGAAAATATTGGCCAAATGAAAAAGACACAATTAGAATAGAATTGTTTTCATATGAAAGACATGTAGTTTTGGACATGAAGTTCAAACACTCTAAAGTCAATGGTGTGTTTGCAATCACTTTCATGTATATTATATGTCTGGAATGACATAAAAAAATTGATATGCATCTAAAGTCTATTTATATGGCTTATTTGACTATACTTATATGATAATCCTGGAGGATTTATATTGCTTGAAGCATACACAATTCTTGATCTAGAAGTTCACTTCCTAAGTGCAATTTGTGCACAAATGTATCTTGCTATAACTATAAGCATGAGAATATGATAGCAAGAGTTTTCACCTCTATGTGAAGATATTGAAATGACGATTCCAACAAGATCATATTAAGAAAATACAACTATTAGGGATGATGATTTCAAGGTAAAACAAATTCGTTCAAGTTAATATGGCTGATTTGTTTGTCGAATCTCTACCAACGATCTTTTGAAGATGGTGCACACGGTTGTAATGCAAAGGCTTAAAGATGTGAATTGATGCTCTCATCAGGGGAAGTTAATACGAGTTGTACTTTTTTTCCTTACAAGGTTTTTTCCCACTGGGTTTTCCTTGCAAGGTTTTTAACGAGGCAGCCAAAAGGCGTATTTCTAAACATGTGTACTCATTTTCCTTCACTAGAATTTTTTCCCACTGGATTTTATTTAATTAAGGTTTTAACGAGACACATTATTTATTGAATAGACATTCAAGGGGGAGTGTTATAAATAGAATTGTATTTAAGGTGAATGTCTATATTTAGAGAGATTTTAGGGCTTGTTACTTGGTGGCTAAGTCACTTTTTCCTATAAATAGAGGGGTCATATTCCATTGTAATTCATCCCAAATCAATAAAAATTCTCTCTCCCAACTTTTCTCTTATATTGTTATATAACAAATTCCATTTATAACATATATTTTGTTATATTGGATTAAATATACATGATTTTTGAAATCTTGGAGGATTATTAGAACCTTGCGGACCATTTTAATAAAGGTAAGCACTTAAAAATCAATTTTGATCTTTTCCTCTAATTTGTTCATTTATATCAAGGATAACTATGAATAATAATATACGCATTATTATGCGAGTAAAAATATAAGGATTTCTACTATATTAGAAGTGCGAGTGTATCAGCTGACACAGACATGTCTTCGTCGACATGCCAGCTTAAGCTTTTATATTTTTGCCCCTGTTTTTCAATATTTTTACGTTCATTGCTACCAGAGAAATTTGTAAATAATGAAAATTCTGGGGCATTTTCAAAGCTTATTTTACATCTTCCCCTGATATTAACAGCATTACACCTGTTCACAATTTATAACACATGCAGTAATATTGATGAAAATAATATACTAATATATAAAATTTGCATATGGATATTAATAGATAAGATTTAAATATTTGCACTAAAACCCCAAAATATTATTTTTTCTGTCTCAATTTATTTGTCATACGATTAGTCTGTTTTAAAAAATATATTATAATTTCTTATATAAAAATAATTTAGTTTTACGAGGGAGTAGTTTTCTAGAAATCTTTATTTTCAATCAGTTTTAACGCAAAATGTCATGTTATATGCAGGGGCGGCCCAACCAATTTTATGGCCTAAAGCCAAACTTTATGAGGGGCCTTAATTTTTAATTTTTTTTTTATTTGAAATCTATTTTTTAGCTTTTCTTAAATACAAAGTTATAAATAATTTTTTTTACCAACAATAACTCCTAATAAGTATTTCTCAGTTGATAATATAACTAATACATTTAGGCCTCATTTGTTTACACTTAATGGAGGTCTGGATCTTAATCATGCAGATCTCAGACATTAAGTGCGTTTGTTTTTAAAATCTGAATCTTAATTATTCAGATCTTAATCATTAAGTGTGTTTGTTTTTTTTACTTCACAACCACTTAATGGGTCTGAATAGGTCTGTATGATTAAGATCTATAACAGAGACTTAATTTCATTAAGATGCTATCACATATTCATTATTAACTGCCGCCACCGCCTACCATTATCAACTACCACCACCACCATACTCAACCATCACCACCACTACCACCCCCACCACCACCCCTACCACCACCACGACACCATCATCCTCAATCATAGCCGCCACCATTATCGACCATCACCATCCACTATCCCCACCACTCCGACTACGATTATTTTCACCTACAATCAACACTCATCCACCTCAACTACCACAACTGACCACCCCATCACCATCAACAACCACACCCGGCACTGCCCATTATTATAACCTACCACCACCCACCCACCACCTTCCTTAGTCACAACTACTACCACCACCCACCATTATTAACTATCACACCCACCACCACCATCCTCAATCACAATCGCCACCACTACCAATCAGCTACTAGCATGAACCACCATCATCAACAAAAACTACCACCAACCGCCGCCTCTATCGGCATTCACCTGTCAGCCATCACCACCAACAACTATCATATTCTAAAAATTTATATATTTTATTGATCGAATATTAGATTAGTTAGTATTTCATTTGAATTTTATATTTATTAATTTTCAAATAAAGATAAATTTATACATTCAGATGTTAAAAATCAAACAGTCTTAATTATTTCTATTCAAATCATAATACACATCTTAATATATTCATATGTGTATTCAGATTCAGATGTCTTAATCTTAATACACGTCTTGATATTCAGATGTGTATTCAGATTCAGACGTCTTAATCTTAAAAAAAACAAATGAGGCCTTAACATTTCTTGTGACATTGTTGTTCTTAGGTAAGATTTTATCAATTTTAATTTTAAAAACTTCTTTCTGCGGAAGCAACGTTAACATGAGTTATTAACATTATTCCATAAGCAATGTATCAATTAAATTGTTATCTTCTAATTGTACGATTTTTTAAATATTTTTAATTCAGAAATAAATCTAAACTATCAATATCGAATTGATTATTATGCTTTAAGGAACAACCAAAATTAAGGCAATATTTTTTCAAATTTTCAACATCTAGCGATCTTAGTTTTTACTACTAAATAGAAAACCAAAAATATTTTCGTATGCTTCGAATTGTTCAACTCTATTTTGAAGTGAAAAAAATAGCCTTTTTTATTATGTATAAAAGTAATCAACTCTTCTCTTCGAAAGATTTTGAGATTTCATTATCAACATTGCACATTAAATTGTTACTTCCTATATATCACACGTTTCTTGCGAAATTCGGGTTCAATATTCATTTCAAGTGCAATTTCTTCGGTAGAAATCATAGCAGTTGCAAATCCTTCTTATCTATATTTGTTAAAGAAAGAAATCAAACCTTTTTACTTTATGGAACTCTTTTTTTAAACTTATTTATAATCTATTAGGTGTAATAAAAAATGACGCCCCACAAAACTTAAAGCCGGTGCTTTAATTACTTTTATGGAAGGGCCCCCCTGGTTATATGAGTATTAGTTATGTGTAATTTGATATGGATTTTTTCCATCGTATATAACAACCTCCATCTGACTGAAATATAAGAAGTGAGAAGACTTGGGGTCTTGCAGAAGCATAGAAAGCGTGCTACATAACTACACTCTGTCGCTAAACCTTTTATCGAAGTAATCTCATACGCATTGAGTTCGCGTTTGATTCAAATGGAGCTCCTTCGATCGAACCTCGCTCGTGTTCGAATTCCTGAACCAACAAATCGTATCTACAAGCACGAATGCTGCATTTCTTTTGACACTCCTGTAATCTTTCTAACTACTTGTTTTTACTCTTCGAGCATTTGTTTTCTCTCTGATTTTAGTTCATTTCATTTGTTTCTTTTCTGGAAATGATTTCTTTTGTTTTTAGAGTTAGTTTGAATCGTCTGCCTAAGTTTTGATGATTGTTATTGGCTTCTGCTATTTGATTGTTTTACCTTGTAGGGTTTATCATTTGTCTGCTAGGGTTTATGACTAATCTTTGGAGTTAAATTGGACTATATTAATTCATTTTTCCGTTAAAAAATTGAACTTCAGTTATTCTGAAACTGTAGGAAATGTACTATAAGTTGCCGTTCTCTTCGTATCGAAAATGGTAAAAGATATGTCTTAAAATTGGATTTAAGTTATATACGCTGATAGTGTAGTTCTTTTACACTACCGGTGAATTTTAACTTGTGATAGCAAATTAGTTACCATTTTTAACAGACTATCAATTAATGCTTACCAAGAGATTACCTGTAATTACCTAACAAATGACATGATTGTCTAAGGATCTTTTACACCCTAAGTGCATAGAAACAATACTCTTTAACATGTTGGTCAAAATTCACTTGGTTTGAATATTGGGAACCTAAAATGCCAAACATTTTGGACAGAGGGAGTACTGTTGATATATTTTGCTTGGTTAAGCTACTAAGGCAGTTAAATAGGTACAATCCCAACATTGGATTCATTACCTTGATCTTTAGTATTTGAATTCGTCACTTTTTTCAGTTGGAAAATATATAATCCGCTATTGAGACTCTGTTAAGCTATTAGTATTGATTTAAATACAACTGTGATTTTTCTGATGCAACATTTACTTGACGTTTTGTCAGAAATCTGAGGGCGGGCTGTTTGTTGATATGAACACCTTTCTTGCATTTGGAAGGGATTATGTAGGTTGGAACTACGAGAAGACTGGGAACCCAGTTTATTTGCACATAAAGCAAACCAAGAAGACAATTGCTGAAGATAGACCATCAAAAAGACCCACGCTTTTGGCTATAGGTAGTAAAAATTTACAAGTCATATGAGTTGAATGCACCTTACCACAAATTCTGATGTATAATTTGGTTATGTCTTTCCGTTTCCAGGTATTGATGGAGGGTTTGATAATAGTGATCCCCAGTATGAAGAAAGCTATGAAATTGTTATATTGCCGGATTATGTAGCCCTTCCTTTCCCTTCTGTGGAGTTGCCTGAGAAGGTAACCTTTGCAATTAAATTCTTTCAGAAGCGATGCATTTTTATAGAGTATGCTATACACTAAATATGGTTTAACATTTTTACTTCCATATCATTCCAACTTGCAGGTAAGGTTGGCTGTTGATGCTACTTTAATGGCTGAAGCTGCTGAAAGGAAAGAGCAAGTTGCTTCATGGACTGCTGACAAGAAGCTTGTCAGTAAATATGCCATGGATCTTCAGCAGCTCGACAATGGTGTTGTTGTTCCTCCAATGGGTTGGAAATGTGCCAAGTGTGACAAGACCGAAAATCTCTGGCTGAATCTAACCGATGGATCTATCCTTTGTGGTAGGAGAAATTGGGATGGAACTGGTGGTAATGACCATGCCATTGACCACTACAAAGAAGCTGGTTACCCCCTTGCCGTAAAGCTAGGGACCATAACTGCTGATTTGGAGGGAGCAGGTAATGCCATCTTTTTGTTTTGAAGAAGGTAACAGATTTTTTATAAATAATCAAAAGAGTAGCCCTTAACACAAAGACTGTGCTAAGAGAAATATAGTTACAGGAGCCCCCCAAAAGCAAAAACCTAGTCCTGCAATATTTACAAGGATGCAATGATGTCAACTACTGATTATACATCTTCTACTAGGGCCTCTTTACACGGAAGTTCATCTTGATCTTCTGTTCAGAGTTAGCTACATCTTCTAAACAACTTGAATTTCTCTCCCTCCTTATTGTCCACCAGATACATGCAGGGATAATTCTCCATCATCTCTTATGTCTCTCAATGTTACCTGGATCATTCCAACGTGCTAACAAGTAACAACTCAGCAGTTTTCCTAGGCATTGTCCATCTGAGTCCTTTCATACTCATCAAGAGCTGCCACAGAGTACTGGTAACTCTGTAATGGAGAAACAAGTAATGCCATCTAACCCTCAGGGGTTGGCCTGGTGACAATAGACTTGAGCCTTGGGGTTTGCTCCCTTTCAAGGTCTCAAGTTCGAAACCACTGGGTGCAAACAATTTCTGAGGGCCATCGGACTGGGTAAAACCTGAATTAACCGTGGTGCACTTGCGGGAAACTCCTTGCCGAGGGCCTGTGCACCCCCGGGATTAGTCGGGGCTCTTAGAGACTCGGACACCCGGTGCAAATCAAAAAAAAAAAAAGGGTAATGCCATCTTATATATAAATGATCAGAAGTTGGTATCAAAACTTGTGGCTTAGCTCCTTTCCGTTTTGAATTTTCTTGTGTAGATATGAAGTCTTGATTTTTTCATAGTCGAGTATTACTGGTTTATTTCTAAGCACAGCAATCATTTGTAATGCAGATCTGCCTTATGGATTACTGAACAACTATTTTCTTTATGTTCAGTCAACTTAAGCTTTGTATCTTTCAAGTCTTAGTTCAGGGTGAGGGAGATGTAACTTACTCTTCAAATATGTCAATCGTTTTGGATAGTAAGGAGAGGCTGCCTGAACTGTTTGATTTTGGTCATTTTTTGATTTTAGTTTTACGAAATTTCAGTTTGGTTTCGTGAGAGGCTTCTAAAATTCGTTCACTTAGTAACCAAAAACTAATAGGCTCTGGATTTTAAAGAATTTGTTCACTCAGTGGCATGGTAGTCATTTGAGTTCCCTAGATATTGGAAGTGAGGTGCAGTGGTTTTGTAGTATGAAATTGTCTCTTTTTTGTTCCTTATCAAAAAGTTTCCTTTTCTTTGTTTTGATCATTTTCTTGGACATGCCTACCTTTACAATGAGCAATGTCAATTCAGAGAAGTAGAATTGAAGAGTATCAGAATATCGTACTATATCTTACTTGTTGAACCAAAAATAGAGTGGGCACAAAGTTCATGTAGAGTGGCTAATTCCTGAATCTTTCAGTATGCCATGGTTTATGGGAATACAACAACCAAATCTAGTGTAATCCCACAAGTGGGATCTGAGGAGAGTAGTGTGTACTCTGACCTTACTTCCGCTTTGAGAAGATAGAGAGGCTATTTATGGAAATAGAAACACATTAATGTTAAAATGACACGATTGTGTTGTGGTTCTGTATCTTTACAAGTTCTTTGATTTCTCCACTCTAGAATCAAGTAGATTTCTTGCTTGTTTACCTTAGAATCCTTAGTTGTGGATGGGGTGAGGATTGAGGGAGAGGAGGAGGTAAAAGGGGCGATAGTGGGGTTTTATGAGAACTTATACAAAGAGGAAGTTAGTTGGAGGCCGACTTTGGGGGAAATAGAGTTCAACCACATAGGGGAGGGAGATAGTGAGTGGCTAGAAAGGGCTTTCGAGGAGGAGGAGGTGCACGAGGCTGTGTCGAGTTGTGCTGGTGATAAGGCCCCCGGCCTGACTGGTTTCTCGTTGGCCTTCTTCCGAGCTCTGTTGGGACACCATCAAGGGAGAGTTCGATGGAAGCCGNNGAAAAATTGGAGCGCCTTCAAAGGAATTTCTTGGGATGCAGCGGATGGAAATAGAAAGTATCATCTAGTGAATTGGCACACCTCCCAAAGAAGTGGGGTGGACTTGGGAAATGGCCGTGGAGATTCGGGGTAAAAGAGCATGCCCTATGGGGGGAGGTCATACTAGAAAAGTACGATTCCACGGGAGGGGGATGGAGGACCAAGGCAATCACAACACCTTTCGGGTGTGGCATGTGGAGGAGCATCATGAAGAATTGGGAATCCTTCAGTGGCAACATCTCTTACAGGGTGGGAGATGGAAGGAAAATCAACTTTTGGAATCATAGGTGGTGTGGAGAGGATACTCTGAGGGTCTCCTTCCCCCACGTCTTCAGAGTTTCAAACCAGAAGGAATTGATGGTCCAACAGATTCGTATGGAGCATGAAGGGGGGGGGGGGGTAGTATGGGACCTCTCATTTAGAAGGAACATGCAAGATTAAGAGATTGCGGAGCTCCAAGATTTATTGTCACTGCTATATGGGCAAGACAGGCCTCAGCCATCTTGTGATTCTTGGAGATGGGGTTTGCGTGGCGATGGTCTGTTCACCGTAAAGTCCTTTTACCAAAGTATGTTGGTGAGAGAGGAGGCCTCTTTTCCATACTTCTCGATCTGGATTCCTAAGGCGCCCACGAAGGTGTGCTTTTTTGCATGGCTAGCGGCGAGGGGAGTGATTTTAACTGCTGAGAATCTGCGAAAGATGGGAAATACACTTGTTAGTTGGTGCTATATGTGTAAAAGCTCAGGGGAAGAAGTTGATCATCTTTTGTTGCATTGCCCTGTGTCCTCGGCTTTGTGGAGGGCGATCCTGAACCTTTTTGGTGTTCAATGGGTGATGCCAAGCACTGTAAAGGAAATGCTATATAGCTGGGCCGGTTTCCGTAGAAGAAGAAAGCACGCGTGGAAGTTCGCCCCGTTAGCTCTCATGTGGATAGTTTGGGGGGAGAGAAATATGAGAGCTTTTGAGGGGATAGAGTCTCCTTTTTCACATCTTAAGAATAGTCTTTTATCTTTGATCGCTTTTTGTTGCACTCATATAGCCCCTATTTGTATAGAAGAGTGGGCGTCTTTTGTAGAGAATCATGTTCTGATGTAAATTCTCTACTTTTTTGGTATACTTCTTGTATAAGGGAGTTCTCTCCCTTTTGATTAATACAATTTACCTTATAAAAAAAAATAATCTTTTTTTATAACCGTGGTGTCCGGACCAGCTTGTGCGCATCTCGACTAATTCCACGGGGTACTTGTTACCTCCAACCAGCAACAGGTACCGGGTAACTCTATCCATGAAGACTGGACAGATGGAAAGAAAACACCTAGTGTTTTTGTCTCTGTTGGGTTTCGAACCTGAGACCTTAAGTTCTCAACCTTAAAACAATTATTAAATTGCCATATATACGCGTTGGATGGACATGTCCTTCATTAGTATGATAAATATCATGGTTGTGAATATGGCCCTGTAACTCAACTATGCTACTCAACTATGCTGGATTCTTTACTACATCAATGATGTCCCCTCATTTTACCATGCTTAAATGTCATTTGGCTTGAGTTAATACTAACCGGTTGCAAAGTTTGGCAGCTCAGATGTTTTCTCCTACCCAGAGGATGAAAGTGTTCTTGACCCACTTTTAGGACAGCATCTGGCACATTTTGGTATCGACTTCTCATCATTGCAAAAGGTTAGCAGCTACTGTATTCACTCGTAGAAAAAGTGTGTATAACGTGTATTAACTAGTTTCGCTACGTATCAAGCTTCCGTGTGGAATAGCCATCTTAATTGGGCCTTCGACTGAACTCTACTCCAGCTATGTCTGAGGTGGCTTAACTCATACGCAGACCTAATCTAGCAAGTTGCCAACTAAGACAGTGATAATTTTTTGCTTACTAATGATTATTTTTCCTGCCTGTAAATTTCTTTGATTCTTTTCCCCTGTAACAAAGTTTGTTCTCTTTGTCGTTTCAAGCTTACTTAGAATTCTCCTCTGGAGCTATAGTCGTTGTGTGCATAATGGTTCCCGGCACTAGCATATTGTGCTGTTACTGATGCAAAGTTACGATTGCTCCAATTCTTCTTCTTATAGGTAGTGTGATTTAACATTGTTCTTTTGATTAATTATATTTTTAGACGGAAATGACTACTGCTGAAAGAGAACTTGACCAAAATATTAATTATGATTGGAATCGTATTCAAGAAACTGGTCAAGATGTTGAACCACTTTTTGGACCTGGTTATACTGGACTAGTCAATTTGGGTAATAGGTGAGTTGGCCAATGTAGCTGTTGTTTATGTTTATTTTCATAAGTCTTGTCTCATTTTATTCTTTTTCAGTTGCTACTTGGCCGCAACAATGCAGGTTGTGTTCTCAATGCGTCCCTTCTGTTCACGGTGAGATTATTATTGTGATAAATGTCTTTGATGTTAAATGGCATTGAAGTTCGTTTCCACGTAGTTCTACTTTATAGTTTTAGCATTTCCCTTCTAATTTTGGGTCTTATCATCTGATGTGCAAATACCCCACAGGTACTATGTGGAGCAAAGTCTCAAAGCAGCTTTCAGTGTGGCTCCTGCTGATCCTACTGTAGACCTTAACATGCAGCTGTGAGTAACTTGCATTTGTTCATTTTTCTGGTTCACCATTAGTTCTCAACCAACGAGATTTCTTAGGTGGTCTGCAACGCTTTTACTAAGTTATGCTTATATTTCGTATTATGTTTGGAAGCTAACCAGTAACCACTATGTAGACTGTATATGTTCAAACTGAATCATGTCCTTTCTCAGACTCATGTAGTTAACAATCTAGGAAACCTGTGGAATACATGCTTATTCTCAGCCAAGAATCTTCCTTTAAATGAATGATAACCACCCACCTTGTTATGGGCAAGTGAATGAACAAGATGTAAATTTGTGAAATGAATTTCTGACTGATCTGATCTTTGTAATATACACGAAGCTTCTTTTTGTGCTCATTTTGTAGTGAGCCGTAATTCTTATTAGGGTTACCAAAATATTAGGTTCTAAAGGGAGCAGCTTCAATCTTGTCCTTGCCAATTATACTATTTTTAGCTATAGTTTCCAAGGCTGAAGATGAACTCCTTTAGCCTCGATTTACTGATTTTATTCCTCACTCCCACATCACCAACTTTATCACTCCACGCCGTTCTCCCTTTTCCTTACAAGAACCTCAACATGTTGTACCCAAGGGTACGGCATAGTGGTTAATGAAGTGAGCGAGAACCCTGAGGTCCCAGGTTCAAATCCCAACGGAGGTAAAATCACTAGGTGATTTCTTCCCATTTGTCCCATTTGGTTGGAGCCGAGGGTCTATCGGAAACAGCCTCCCTGCCCTATCGGGGTAGGGGTAAGGTCTGCGTACACATTACCCTCCCCAGACCCCACTTTGCGGGATTTCACTGGGTAGTAGTTGTTGTTGTTGTTGTTGTCCCAGCCTTGGTAGATAAAGTTACTTGGTACCTGCCGCTGGTGAGAGGTGGCAGGTATTCAATGGAATTAGTCGAGGTGCGCGCGAGCTGGCCCGAATACCACGATTATAAAAAAAAAAGGAACCTCAAAACATGCTAAGGTTTAGCAACACAAGCATGAAGAATAAAGTATGACATGAATAGTTCTAAAGCTTGTCCTCGAATGTTTAGGTTAGGAAACCTTTAACAATGTAGATAATGTGAACATATATGTTACCTATCAAAGACAAATGTACATATCAACTACGGAGAATTTAGAAACCTAACTTAGTGGAGGCAAAGTCATATTAAGTAATGCACTTATTAATCGTGTATAACCATCAGTGGAATGAAATAATGTCCATTTTTTTAATAAGTAAAGCTTGATGGAAGAGGTAAAACAAATAAAATGTGGAATGGAAAAATGTCCATTATATCCTATAAATTTTAGTAAATATTTTAAAAGAATTTGCACCTAAGAGTGTGGCATAGTGGTCAATGAAGTGGGTTGAGAACCATGAGGTCCTAGGTTCAAATTCCAGCGGAGGCAAAACCACTCGGTGATTTTTTCCTACCTGTCCAAGACTTGGTAGACAGAGCTACTTGGTACCTGTGCCGGTGGGAGGTAGCAGGTACCCCCATAGAATTAGTGGAGGTGCATGCAAGCTGGCCCAAACACCACAGTTATAAAAAACAAAAAAGAAAAAATGACGAATTTCTATGGTAGATTCCTTTTATTTTAATTTCATGATACATTCGAAACATTGAAATAGATATACGATAAAAACGAAAAATTATATCAATCANTATGGCCAGGTGCGTGTTCATATCATATATCATCGTACAGATGAAAGTATTTGACAAAGCAATATACTTATTTATACTGGTCTTGTGATAGTTTCAACATTATTTTAGTTATACAATTAGTTGCATAAGTAAGCCTACTTGATCCTTACAGAGGCATTTTGTCCCTTCAATCCTCTATATTATTTCGTAACTAACAAAGTTCAGATGTGTATTACGTTTGAATTTGCATAGGGCTTGAGTAGACTACATTCTCATACTTTCGTTGCATAAAAACTTATTTTTCAACGTGAAGGCATATTAGATATTTTTAAACATAAAGTATGAAAATCTTAATTGTTGACATGTTCTGCCTTTTTCAATTATACTCAAAACACATGTAAGTTGGTCATAGCTATTTGAGTATGTCATTGTTGAACATGACTATCTGCCTGACAAGTCTATTATGTAATTGCTGAAGTATTTTTTTTTACAAATAACAATTGGCTTCTCACGTTGGTTAATCTATTTGAAATCCAAAATGAGAGTTGGTGCCTTTTTCATTCTCTTTTATTGGTATTTGTGATAAGTTATATATATATATATATATATATATATATATATATATACTAGTTTCTCCGCACGTGCAACGCACGTGTATATTAAGTTACATGTAATATATTATTTTATAAAATAAATTAATATTATTAAAATAGAGCTTCATATAAGAAATTTCATACAAGAAAGAATAAGGTAGTAGTTTCTGTGAATCATTAAATTGAATTAGTCATATGATGACTTGTTTATTAGTATCGTCTGAATCTAGGAAGAAGNAAAAAAAAAGGAACAAAAGAGAAAGAACAAGATATTATGAGTGACCTTTGTCTGTTCACCTAATTATAGGGAGTTACAGGGGTTTTAAATGTCTAATAAGCATTGAGCACTGAGCTGTTGATGCATGCTTGTGTTTGGTCTTCTTCAATATCAAAAGAGTGTATGTGTCCTTATTTGTATAGCGATTAACTTTAGCAGACAAATCCTTGCATAGCCTGACTTGCATTACCATTGCTAGATGCTTTTGCTTGATACAACGTTTATTTCTTACTTGATAGATGGTTCGTTCTTAGTTCTTCTTTTTTGTTATATTTACCTTTCTTTTGTGGGCAGGGGGGGAGTTTGGGGAATATCCTGAGTTTGTTTGTATCCTGTGAGTCCAATCTATGCTGTACCAGGACAATTACTTCTGTTGTGTTAGAATTTTTTAATTTTCTGAATTTTCTAAAATAATAAATACTGAGCGCCCATAGCGGAGCGCTTTTCATTCTTCAATTTGCAGATATGATGAATATTGCTTTGCTTTTTATGATTTCTTTGTGTGTGCCCTTAACTTGTTGACACGTTACACTGATTTTGGCAGAACAAAGTTAGCTCATGGCTTGCTTTCTGGAAAATATTCTGTTCCTGTTCTGGAGGTATGTGTCTGGAAAAATTATTTCTTTATACATTGCCTTCTTGGGGGATAACAATTATTTTTTGTGATCCAGGATGATGACAAGTCAAGTGCTCCAAGTTCACTGGTAAACTTTCATATATGAAGAAGTTCATGTTTTCTTTTGGTTTGCATATATTATACATAATCTTAGCTCACTCCATAGCTTTTATTAGGCTAATCAAATATTTTGATGGAAATTTACTGGCATGTGGTAGAATTTATGCTGCTCTGAAGTTAACATGATGACGAAGCTCGCAAATAAAATAGGATTGTGGTAAAAAATGGTTGCATCTGGTTCATGGAAAGCTTTCCCTGGTGTTAGCCAAAATTGTTTTCTTAGTTTCTAATTCTTTATTGGGCATGTATTGCGAATGCTTATAATTTGGGGTTGGGGCAGTGCTCTTTCTATAACATGAGTAACTGTGATTTGTTATATAATATATGTGAGCCTTAAAAGTTGAAACTTTAGATGCTTTTAATCTAGCTTTCATAATGATCTTCTAAAGATTTAGATAGAGGGCTTTTACCTTCCTCTCATGGTGTGAGGCATTTCAAGACTAACTTTGGGCCGAATGATTTACCTATTAAATCAGGTTGTGTGCTTGACATTGTATGTTTTACCCCTCTTTCTCTCCCAACTTTTAATTAATCCTTTGTTTTTCTTAACTTTCAGAAACAGGAGGGAATCCGTCCCCGCATGTTCAAGTCAGTTATTGCTGCTAGCCACCCTGAATTTTCTACTATGAGACAACAGGTATCTGGAATCTACTTCAATCATTAGATGTTTCCATTTGAGATAACCAATTAAAACATGATAATGCTGTTCGCAACTAACAAAATCCTGAAATCTATTATTTTTTTACATCTCATGTCACGAAACATCCAATATAGCTCTTTCCTGTTGATGTGATGAAGTGTGTGTCTGGGCTGGTTCTTATAACAACTTTGTTTTATTCCATAACTGTTTCACCTCCCACTGATGTTTTATAACTGATTTCATGCTCACATGTCGTGTTTTTTTTCATTGCCCTTGAAGCTCACTAGTTTTTGTCTTTCTGTACTTTTGCATCTATGTTCGTTCTGGTTTGTTGTCATTATCATGGCTATTGTTATCAGTACATTTTGTTGATGTTAGTTTATGTCTAGGATGCATTAGAGTTTTTCCTACATTTCATTGATCAAGTTGATCGGATGAACATCGGGAACCCTAATTTTGATCCTTCAAGGAGCTTCAAGTTTGGAATTGAAGAACGCCTCCAATGTCCCTCAGGAAAAGTGGCCTACAACGGGAGGAAAGATTATATTCTTTCTCTTAATATTCCTTTAGAAAAGGCGGTAAACAAAAGTGAGTTTTGTCGTACTTTATATTTCCTTTCCCCTGCCTGCGCTTCTATCTTATAATTCATTTGGTATGGTATTCTAGGAGAGCTAGCAGACTTTCAAAAGTTAAAGGCTGAGAGAGCTGCAGAAGGAAAGGAAGTGTGAGTTTCGGCTGGTCTGCTACACACTTCCATTTCTTCTACTTTCTTGGTAAATGTATAGCTTTTGCAGGTCTTCAGATGAAATTGTCCGCCCAAGGGTTCCATTAAAGGATTGCCTGGATTGTTTTTCAGCTCCTGAGGAGGTGCATGATTTTTACAGCACGGCTTTAAAGGCTAGGACAACTGCTATCAAGTAAGTTTTCTGACGTGTCCCTTAAAGTCCTTTATTCTATTTTGTCTACTTCGTTTGCAGGCTGCTACTATTTATTTCGCCTCGCAATTACTTTTTAGTTTGCAGTAGGCTATAAAAATATTATTGCTATTGCCTAGTATATTGTCTTCTTCAGTTTCTCACAACTTGAATAATTGGTTACAATTAGTGAGGAAATGATCGATGCCTAGCCAGAACATGATGCCCTGTAATAAGCACCTTTCTCTATTTGCTCATCCTTCTACCTGACATCTACTTTTTTCTTTCCTAATAGAACTGCAGGTTTGACTTCCTTTCCTGATTATCTGGTCTTGCACATGCGAAAATTCGTCATGGAGGAAGGCTGGGTGCCAAAGAAACTTGGTATGTTGCTTTTTCTATAGCTTTGTATATTTCTGATGGAGTCTGTTGCTTTAAATTCTCCTGTTAATTGTTAACTCTTTTTTTTTGGGGTGGTTGATAGATGTCTATGTAGATGTCCCTGACATCATTGACATAAGTAATATGCGCAGTAATGGTCTTCAACCCAGGGAAGAGCTATTACCTGAGACTGGTATGATTACCTTGTCACTGATATAATTTTGATAATTTTCTATTTCATATATGTCAAATAATGTCATGTGACTAGGGGTGTTCATGGTTCGGTTTGGATCGGTTTTTTCCTTAAAAGAAACCAAACCAAGTAAGTCGGTTTTTCAAATATTAGAACCAAACCAAACCAATTAAGTCGGTTTTTTCTCGATTCGGTTTATGTCGGGTTTTGTCGGTTTTTCGGTTTCTCGGTTATTTGTCGGTTTTTTCTTAAATATAAGACATACACTATCAAACACATATTCCGGCGACCACATTTTCAACGTAACACTATCAAATCAATTGCCCTTAGAGAAATCTATTATTTACCAAGATATACTGATGATAATTGAATCAAATAGTGATGAATAATTTAAGGACTCAATTAAAAATATATTATTTTTAACACGAAATGGATTCTTACACTTAACAAAAGAAAACTACCAATCAAACTAGAATGTAAAGGTAAAGAACTATACTAAAAGTGCAAACTATCAACATTTACCATTAAATTTTTGAAACTTTGTATAAAAATATACATATATATATAGGTGTAATAATAAATTTGAAATAGCTACTCCTATAGTCGGTTTGGTTCGGGTTTTTTTCGGTTTTTTTCTGATTGAAAACAAAACCAAACCAAATTTGATTGGTTTTTTAAATTCAAAACCAAAACCAAACCAAACCAAAAAGTATCGGTTTTTTTGGTCGGTTTGGTTTGGTTCGATTTTTCGGGTTTTTATGAACACCCCTACATGTGACTATGTATAAATGTGTGCTTGGCTAATGTGAGTTGACCATATACTTTGTCTTGCCTACCTTTTTATGCCAGTCATGCTTTGCAAGAATTTATATTCATACTCCTTCAAAACCCCAAGTCCCTTTAAAAAATATTGCATGTGACAGAAGAAGATGGGAAGTCATAGGATCAGACTGAAGGTGAAATAGCTAGGTTTGTGATGATATCAAAAGAATTTACTCATATGTTTTATCCATTCTATGGGAGCGATCGGTCTACTGCTTTGCTGAGCAGATTGCTTTGACCTTTTCAGTTTTGTTAGGAGCCTTTCTTTGCTTCACATCTTTTCTGTCATGCCTTTATTTCGATGTTGAGGTCATTGCCTCTTGTGAGAGATAAGATGTGTGTTAAAATGGCTATACTGGCTTCTGATTGAATCAACTTGAAGCAAGGTGATTGGATGAGTTCTTTCTGGTAAAAAACATTGGTCCCCTTGCAAGTACCCTGACTGATAGGTTACTAAGTGGAAGACTTCCTCGCCCACGTGTTTTATTGATTCATTAGTGTTCACAGTTTGTATTCCTGTTCTCTGACTGCAGTAAGCACGATTGTTTCAATCTCTCATTACTAAATTCTTCTCCCTTTACAAACCAACAACAAACAACTATGCCTCAGTTCTAAATGAGTTGGGCTCAGCTATATCAATCCTGCTGACCATGTTTCTCCATTTAAATTCATCTTAGACCAACATTATACAAACTAAAAATAAAAATAAAGCGTACAACAACGATAAGAATAAAAATATAAATTACAACTAAAAATATGAAGTACAAATTAAAATAATATGTACAAATAAATTTAAAAAGTACAAATAAGTTCTCCCTTTACACCTTGTAGAAAAACATTAGACTATTTTTTGCTTTTATTAGCATTGCAGTGTGGTTGCTCTTAACCAAGTTGGTGGATTGTTCTCTAAATCAACATGTCTGTTGAGTAAATTAATAACAGATTTCACCTTATGAGTTCTTGACCCAAAGTATAGATACCCAGTGTAAATACTAAATTCAAGTACTTCAGTAACTCGAAAAAAGTTGGAAAATCCAAAAAGAAATATTTTTTAACTCTAAACGTTCTAACAAGAAAAACAAAATTTCATGTCCTTTATTTTGAAAGGCATATTCTACTGTGGATCCAGACCCCATTTATGGGATTTCACTGGGTTTGTTGTTGTATATTCTACTGTGGTTATCTCTGGATTTGTTATTTTTACACTGAATTGTTTTGCCAGTCAGTAAATTCTAGTTCAAATATTTTATAGTTGGTTTGAAAGTCATATCCTATGTGTCCTTGTTGTTTCATTTTTGGGAGTTGTGATAAAATATTATTGCATATACATAGGGATAGAAACAGACTCTAAATACCTCAATGATTTGCCATTTGAAATTGAAACATTCTGATCACCATTTAATCTATTCCCTGATAATTGGTCACTTTTCTGAAGCTTTAATAATTTTTGATTCTCATGCCCCAAGACATATCTATACCCGTTCTAGTAAGACATTTTGTCATCAGCTTGTTACCGTTTCTGTTTTTGTGAATGACAATTGTACATCACGCTGGATGTATTCCCTACTTGTATGCCAAGTCTATATATGTTCTGAATGTTCCGACTCTTGTGTTAAAAGTTTCTGGGTAATTCAATAAATATCATCCGTGATCCATGTGGACAGCTGCTGGAGATGGTGAGGAATCTCCGAAGCTTTTGGCTGATGAGGTTATTGTTGCACAACTTGTTTCAATGGGGTTTAATTATCTGCATTGTCAGAAGGCTGCAATCAATACTTCCAACTGTGGAGTTGAGGAAGCAATGAACTGGTTGCTTGCTCACATGAATGATCCAGGTGCTGTTAGAGTCTATTTTAGTTGCTCAAGCTTTTGAAGTTTCTAGATGATGAGAATATTGCTTTTTTTGTTCTTTCCAGATATTGATTCTCCAATATCCCAAGATGTACAAACTCCACATATTGATCGATCAAAAATTGATACACTGGTTTCCTTTGGTTTTGAAGAGGAACTTGCTTGTAGGGCGCTGAAGGCATCAGTAAGTCTCAATTCCAAAGGTTTTCAGAAGCCATATGCTATGCTCTTTTATTAAGTGTTGCAATTACTATGGCTTATCTTTTTCCCCTGTTATTGTCTGTGTTTCCAGGGTGGTAATGTTGAGCAAGCAGCTGAATGGATATTCAGCAATCCTAGTGCTTCTGCTGCATCAGATATGGATGTTACAACTAGTGGTGGAGCTGCGGTTGATACCTTGCTGCCTGATGGAGGAGGAAGTTAGTTCCCAATCCCTGCTTCTATTAGTGTATAATTTTACCTAGATCTAACATGTTTGCCAAAAATACACAAGTGAGCCTAGGAGCGCCCTTTTATTTTCTATTCCTATTTATGTTTTCATAGTTTAACTGAGGAGCCTAAGAATTTATTTGGTAATAATAGTCAATCACCTGGTCTTGGATTACATATATAGAATGTTTTTTCTGTTGTTAAATTTTTCCTCTGCATCTAAACTCAACTCACATGTGGTTGCCCTTTGTTTACAAATTTTGCTGCTTCTAGTCTTTTTGAAGGGAGGTGCTTGGCTTTTTATGATCTAACTTTTCAGTATTGGATTTAGAGAAGTTCACATTTATGGGAATCTTTTCGACCGAGTGATCAATCGAGACTGTCCTCTTTCTTTGATCCCATGACTTTTTGTTTGGACCAATTGCAAATACCAGAGAGTGTTCGAGAGCATGGTCCAAGAAGACTTTAGCAAGTTAAGGCTGTAGATTTGAGGCAAAACACCTAGTTCTGCTTGCATAAGCTGTTTGAGTGTTGGATAATACTTAATACTGGGAGCCCCCAGGACTTTGGTTCAATATTAAATGTAGTATGACGATTGATGTGTGGTAGACGCACGTCACGCTCGAATCTTTCTAGGAACCAAGTCTGGTATTTAAGTGGAGAAGGGTAGAGGGGCATGCCAATTATCTACCGAGTTTCACAACTAGATTTCGGTTGTTAACAATAAAATAGAAAAATTGAATACTGAGAAATGCTAATCATGTTCTTGGTCCAACTGATGCATATCACCCATCCATACTAGTGAAATATTTGCTTCTATCTCAGGTAATTTCTTGCTACTTGATTATTTGACAAAGTTTGCTTTGAATAAACAGGATACAGGCTCCTTGGATTGGTGAGCCACATAGGTACCTCTACCCATTGTGGCCATTATGTAGCTCATATTCTCAAGGATGGTAGGTGGGTGATTTTTAATGATGAAAAGGTTGGGATTTCGAAAAATCCGCCTCTCGACATGGGATACTTGTACTTCTTTGAAAGACTGGAGAGTTAAAGATGGAGATCAGGACAGGTTAGATGAAGTTAAAATACAGGGCGGAGGACCAGGTAACTTGGTGGAATTGTTGCCAGCAGGTTGAATATATACAACAGTTTGCGCACATATGCTGATCATGCATCATTTTAGTGAATCACATCCCATTAGCTGAACTTTGATCATTCGCTGGATTTTAAAGTATTATCCTTCCATATTTGTGGAAAATTTTGAATTTTGATTTTATTCTGGTTCATATAATTCTGTTCTATGCTTTTTTACTTTATCTTTTCCTCTCCCTTGATCTAAGGTTTGATTTTTCCAGGAGAATGAAGAGTTAATTGTCGGGTTTTAGGTAGATTTGACCGAGTCTCTAATTGATAATTAGCTGGTCATCAGCATCAGGCATTCACGAGTTACATTTTTTCCCCGACTATAGGTGTCTATCTAGTCACTTTCTTATTTTTTTAAAAAGGAAAAGACAACAATAAGCATTGAGAAGGTTTCAATGGGCAATCGTGTGAAACAATCTGTTAATTGAAAAGAAAAGTATGGGTCAAATGGCCGAGCAAGTTAAAGAAAATTCATGTTATGCACGGCCAATTCTCCAGCTGATGATTCGAAGAGGAAACGTGAATATATCAAGAATGTTCGAGCAATAGATTGATCTGGCGATTTATTTGACCATTTCAGTTACAACTTCATATTTTCTAGTTTCTAGCAATTTTGTCATTACAGTTTGATATTTATGTGCAAATAATCCTCCAATTGGAGCGTGGCCGAATCGAATAAAAATAAATTCGCAGGCTAAAAGTGATCTTTGCAAAGAAATTTTTTAAAAAGAAAATAACAGGTAATTTGTCAAGACTGAATATTAGGCGTAAATCAACTCCAACTTACGGTGTAGGGGGAATAATGCGCTTTTTTATTTGTTTCCTCCAATAAGGAAATATCTCATAAGCTATGCCGTCTTCTGTCTCCTCAAGGAAGATGACTAGGTGATATATTATATATAGAGGGTATAGTTCTTCATTTCCTGTTATTAATCTTTTATTTCTCTAATTTGGCAAAGTTTGAGAAATAACCAGAATTTAAACTCATGATATTACAATATAAATCATGCCTAGTTATTGCACTATTCGGTTAAAGAATTGAATAATTTGACTTAATAAAAATAGGGCTTCACATGAAAGAATATGTTGATAGATAGGTCAACAAAAGAGGAACAATTTGACTGCTAGCAACTAAGATGGTAATATTTAGACTCTTCATATGTTCCAGATTAATTAAAGAGACAAATTCGTTGCTAACATCTTTAACTGAAAACAACCAAACGCACAAATCACTTCAAGTTGTACACATGCCACAATATTGAGTTAATGGCACCTCACTAACTGAATGCACTACTACTAGGTAAATTGAGAATTTGACTTGGCAACAAAGCACATCAACAGATTATTCTTCCATTTCGTTTAATCTATATGGAAAAGTTGGCGACTCGTTAAGCTGCTCAAAGGTGGTTTAACCATTTTGTTTAAAAAAAAAGAAAAGAAAACCAGTCTTATCTTTAGAAAAATAATTCTAGCAGCTCGGACATAGGAGCACAATTGCATTCATATAATTAAGGGTGTCCAAACCGAACCGGAAAATCGTACCAAACTGATTAAAAAATCCGACTAAATTTGGTTTGGTATTAAGTAAAAAAAAAAAACCCAACCAAACGACATATAAATATATAATTTTTATATATACTTTTAAGACTTTATATAGAATTTTCTTAAAAATATCTAGAAATATTTGGGATCCTCTCATGAGATGTAATATTTAATAAAACTATGAAGTGCATCTATTTTTATTTACTTTAAATAATGGGTTTGTACCATCTCTTTCTTATCACGTGTTATTGAAATATGTCAATCTCTTTGTTTTTGATATTCATATATCAAGATCTGTTAAATTCTTATATTTTTTCGAATTTGAAATGGTAGTTAGATAATTTTAAAATTAAATAGAATCTATTATTATTTAGGTTTCATATTGATTTTTATGCTTAATTATTAAATTCGATTAACCTTAAAAGCGTATATCAACGAAAAATTATTGTTAGATGGCTAAGAAAATAACTATCATGTGTTACTAAAAAAATTCTTCCATAAGAATATATTAGTAGATCATATGATTGTAGGTTCTTTCGATTTTTATTAAACATATATCCGCTTGTCAAAACTTTATCTATAACTTTAACAACGTAAGATTGAAATAATATTCATGTAACAAAAAACCCCGGAGAAACCCAAAAAAACCGAACCAATCCAAACTGATATAGTTGGTTTGGTTTGGTTTGAATAACAACCGAATCAACTCGGTCCATGTACCCCTACCTATAATATACTTTTAGTAATACAAGAGACAGTTGTTATCGTACACTAGATTTATTGTAGTTAAGTCCTATAACATGTACTAATAGGTAGTATATATGTACAGTTAGCACAAAATCTACTAATTCTAACTCTGCCGTGTGAGCTTGTACGCATTGTCGATTTGAATTCGAATAAAGAGAGAAGACTGTGATCGATTGACAATCACTGTAATATGTATGATTCATGAGGCATCTTCCTATCACATACGTATATGTATGATTATACAGTTTACCAACTCCACTTATTTGCCTGATGTATCATAGTAACTTAGTTTTCTCACCTACGTTTTGAACTTTGTCAAACTCTTGTCCTCCCTTGTAATTCTTAATTAATTCCTTTTTTCTCCATGTTTTCCTAGCTTTTCCCTTTGTTTATTTTATTTTATTTTCTTATATATATATATATATATTAGAAATGGGCATGCTCTGGATTGTAGAAAGGAAATAGATCCAAGAGATTGGTGAAAAACAAAAATTATAGTATAACTTTCCTCTTATAAATCCTGCAAATGGTTTCATCCACTTGCAACGATGGATGTCTTCCATAACAGGTTTTAGATTGGTTATGTATCCATAACAGGTTTTAGATTGGTTATGTATCCAAAATAGGTTTTAGATTGGTTATGTATTCATAACAGGTTTTGGATTGGTTTTGTAACAATGAAATATTTCTATAAATAGGTTCACTGATGAACCTATTCCACACTCAAAATCGAAGAAATAAATCCTCTCTTCTAATGTTGTCATTCTCTTCTATTATTAGTCCTAGTTAATTACATAGTTCTTGCTATATTGCTTTTTATTTCACAACACATTATCAGCACGAGCTAGAGTACTACAATAAAAATTCTATGGCCAGGTGCGTGTTCATATCATATATCATCGTACAGATGAAAGTATTTGACAAAGCAATATACTTATTTATACTGGTCTTGTGATAGTTTCAACATTATTTTAGTTATACAATTAGTTGCATAAGTAAGCCTACTTGATCCTTACAGAGGCATTTTGTCCCTTCAATCCTCTATATTATTTCGTAACTAACAAAGTTCAGATGTGTATTACGTTTGAATTTGCATAGGGCTTGAGTAGACTACATTCTCATACTTTCGTTGCATAAAAACTTATTTTTCAACGTGAAGGCATATTAGATTTTCTTAAACATAAAGTATGAAAATCTTAATTGTTGACTTGTTCTGCCTTTTTCAATTATACTCAAAACACATGTAAGTTGTGTTGGTACTACTGTGTTCAAAATCAAAAAAGTAAACAAACGTTAGTTCAATAAACAAAACGTAAAATAATTCCGAGCCCACTGAATGCACAATGTGTCCTTAAGGAATTTAATCCCCTCACTGTTGCCCAAGGTATACGGATTAATTCCTCCCAGGATAGAACGGAATAACTATTCTGTGATAGCGGCACTTCAAATCACAGAACTTCAGCGAACTCAACAAACGGAGCAAATCACACTTGATACTTATGTTTATTTAGAAAATAATGCAACAATGTAGAAAAGAGGGGAGAAGATTTCAGATTTTCCTTATCTGATTTCATATTTTAAAAAATGAAGCCAAGCCTCTAAATTTATAGACAAAGGAAGGGTGATATGGAGAGGTGCAATCTAAAAGGTGCCTCTTTCATTTCCCATTCACACCCCTTAAAAAAAATGCAACAATCCCCCACATGAATGGGGAATGGTCATATGAGGAAAAACATGCATAAAAATACTGTGTGATTCACAAATAAAGATTAATCGCATCTGGATAAGTAGGTTTCCTTGAACTTTTCGTAGTGAACTTATGTCGGATATACTCGGTCAATCGGTAGATTTGATATCTTTGAACCGTCGAACTTTGGTGTATACCTAGACAACCATAAGTCACACAATTAACCCTTAACCGTCTTTGGTTCTCACGGTTGTGTTCGTTTCAGCCATGAACACCGCCTGGTTTCATGAGTGCTTAAAGAATGGGCCTTTACTTTCATTCCCCTTAAAGCGGCTTACACTTAACACTCACATAGGTGATTTCTAAACGTGTAATCCTATAGACACACTATCTGGTCATATCCTGCCAAACTTAGAAAATCATTAAAAAGCTTTAAGCTTTATTGACTCATCAAAAAGCCTTAATGCTTTACCTTGATTTCTGAACATTGTCTTCATCACGAGAATGGGTTGAGTTATTTGACAATGTTGAACCGTCATTCATAACTTTGTTTGATCTCTTTGAACTTAGCTCTTGTGATCTCCAGTCTGCTAGGTAGAGTTACCGCCATGATGACTTGTCCTAGGCCTTAGCCCCATTCCCTTCGATGATCTTTCAAATGCCTCTCTCGATAGGCTTTTTATAAGTGGATCCGACACGTTATCTCTTGACTTTACGTAGTCAATCGTGATAACACCACTAGAGAGTAGCTGTCTAACAGTATTGTGTCTCCGTCGAACGTGCGAGATTCTCCGTTATACATATGCTCCTGCACATGTATACATATAGGTGCCAAAAGTTTGGCCAAAATGAAATATCTTCTAAGAAATTCCGGAGCCATTCAGCTTCTTCAACGGCCTTGTCTAAGGCTATAAACTCAGCCTCCACTGTAGAGTGGTCAATCCACATTTGTTTGGACGATTTTCAAGACATCGCTCCTCCACCGATGGTTTAGAATCGGTTGAACCGGTGATCTAATTTGCATCACTATACCCCTATATTATCGCGGGATACTTATTGTAGTGCAAAGCATAATTTGGAGTATATTTCAAATACTTCAAAACTCGTTTCATTGTCATGAAAGTTCAAATGCAAACTCTCTTATGTTGTAGACTAATACGTCTCGACTTTCGATTGCATATCAGATTATTGACTACA